TGTGCAGTAAAACTGAAAACTGTGCAGTAAAACTGTAAACTGTGCAGTAAAACTAAACTGTACAGTAAAACTATAAACTGTACATTACAAGTGTAAACTGTGTAGTAAAACTGTACACTGTACAGTAAAACTATAAAATGTACAGTGAGAGTAAACTGTATAGTAAAAGTGTACACTGCACAGTAAATGTTTAAACTGTGCAGTAAAAGTGTAAACTATAGGCCTACATTAAAAGTAAAAATGCTAACTGTGCAGCAAAACTATAAACTGTACAGTGAAAATGTAAACTGTACAGTAAAAGTGTAAACTGTATAGTAAAACTATTAAATGTACAGTAAAAATGTAAACTGCAGTAAAACTGTACACTGCACAGTTACAGTGCAAACTGTACAGTAAAACTGTACACTATACAGTTACAGTAAAACTGTACACTGTACAGTAAAACTACAAAATGTACAGTAAGAGTAAACTGTATAGTAAAAGTGTACACTGCACAGTAAATGTTTAAACTGTGCAGTAAAAGTGTAAATTGTAGGCCTACAATAAAAGTAAAAGTGTTAACTGTGCAGTAAAACTGTAAATTGTGCAGCAAAACTATAAACTGTACAGTGAAAATGTAAACTGTACAGTAAAAGTGTAAACTGTATAGTAAAACTGTTAAATGTGCAGTAAAAATGTAAACTGCAGTAAAACTGTACACTGCACAGTTACAGTGTAAACTGTATAGTAAAACTGTACAGTATAATGTGAAGTAAAAGTATAAACTGCACAGTAAAAGAGTAAACTGCACAGTAAACATGTAAACTGCACAGTAAAAGTATAAACTGCACAGTAAATTGTAAACTGCACAGTAAAAGTGTAAACTGTACAGTAAAAGTGTAAACTGTTCGTATAGTAAAACAGTAAAATGTGCAGTTGAAATATAAAGTGTGCAGTAAAACTATACACTGCACAGTTACAGTGTAAACAATATATAAAAACATGTAGCAAGTAGAGTTTAATTTCTTTGTTGTAGAAATTTCCTGGTTCCTAACTTTGCTACATTAAAATCTCAAATGATGGAGAAAAAAATCCAGGATCTTTGTTAAACCATTTTTTAAAAGTTCAAAACAGATGTTGTTTAAAGTAAAAGTCTGGTGTCATTAATCTGCTGCAACACTTTTAGCACCAACAGAAGATCTGATCAACAATTGAAAACCACACTGGAACTCCAAGAGTGCACACTGACTTTAAACAGGAAAATAGAAACAATTAAATAAACAGTGAAAGTATCTGACTAATGCATCATCAAACACTGAAGCTCTGTGCTGAGTCTAAACCTAACCTGTAAACACAAACACAGGATACAGAGGTGAAAATAATTAAAGAAAATATAATTATAGTCCAACCCCGCCCCCTTTTGAGTGACACCAGCACAACAACAACAACAACAACAGCTAAAACAGTCAAAGGATGTAAAAATCACTTCACAAATGTTTAAACAGGATTAAATGGGTCATACCCCACCCAACTGAACCCCCATTAAGATAAATTAATCTATTTATACATACATTGAAAAAATATTTTTTCGTATTGAGAGGGAAAATAAAGTTTTACTGTACATGAAAAATCACCAGCAACATTTGAGAGGGACGCTCAGGTCCGAATGTCCCAACGAGTCCCATAAGAATTCACCCCCGATCACTTAGAATGTGCCGTTTCAAACACGTCGTTAAAAAATGTTGGCTGTTAACCAATTTAAATGGTTAGAAAAGCTGTAGAAAAATAAAGTACTAGTAATATCAAGATTAAAAGACCAAATGCCCTTGGTTGTCTTTTTTCTTATCTCCACACAAATGGGAGAGAACAAATCCAAAAAATGCTGCATTTCCCACCTTTAATAGAAAGATTTTTTTTTTTTAATTTCATTTTATTTAAAACACCACCAGTTGTTCTACTGGTAGAAAATAGAATAAAAGGGGGTTGTTGGGAATTCTGAAAAAGTTCTTGGGAAGGTCTTGGTGACTGCATCTCACGTGGAGCTGAGGTTCCTCCTAGTTGGGTCGGGTCTTTCCTGCAGCTGGATGTTGGGACTTGGGCCGCTGAGGTAAAACGTTGTTACAGAGACACAAGTCAGAAGGAGAGGGGGTATCTGAGATCCAGCTGGAGGACATTTACACGTAGATATGTGAAAAAAGAAGCATAAAAGATAAACAGTAAAATTGACAATAGAAGAAACACAGATTAAATGTTTATGCTTCAGACTGAAACATTTGTACGTGAATAAATCTCTGATATGGTATTTATATAGACAAAATATAAAAAGAAAAGTCAGATCAGAAAGAATGAGATTATGGCAGAAGGAATTTAACAATTATCAAAACAAGAAAAAATGTGACTGCATGTGGCACATTATGCCCGTTGAAAAACTATTGTTCAGCAATCGCAGCAGACTGGACAAGCAAAGACCTTGTTTTATGTTTGACCTTGATTCGACCTTAACCTTAGTGCTGGGGGGATGAAAAGTGTATGACATACTGTCTAGTGGTGGTAAAAATGTGTACCAAGTTTTGTTAAATGATCTCGAGCGGATCAGAAGTTATGGTCCAGACAAGAAAGCACCTTGTATTGTATACTTGTGACCTTGATTTAAGACCTTGGTGCAGGTTTTAAAAAAAGTTGCATCGAGGTAATTTACTAAATACTGTGTTCAGTTTTTATTTACATTGTACAGATCTGAACTTTTATGGTATGGTATGGTATGGTACTTTTAGAACTAAGGTAGTAGATTCAAATGAACAAATGAGTTTTTACCACAGCCTGTTTGTCACGGTGGGATATGAGACAGGCCTTGGTGGAAGATACCACTGCCCATTCTATACAGGAAGTTGTTTACTGGACCCAGTCCTGTGCTTTAGGGTAAACAGCTAATTATGTTTTTACATCGTTCGAACAGAAAGTGGTCCTTGTCTTGGAGTGAGACTTCAGGAACCAACATGTAAAGATTGATAAGACGGGTTTGTGTTAAACACTTACCTTCTTACTCGGGGGTGATTTCTGTTTCCTGGTGCACAACCACTTTAGTGACAGACATATCTGGGTGCTGCTCCTTTGCCTCTTTAATGGCCTGAGCCAAAGCCTGAAGAGTGAACCAAACAAAGTCTTCTTTAACAGAACACAAATCATTATTTGTACTGTCCAATAATAATTACAAACAAACAATATATTATAGTATGTGAGAAAAATACAATACATTTCTGCTTTTTAAGATCTATTGGTTGCTCATTAGTTTTAACTAAATGTTTCTGGAACCAGTGGCACAGTGGAGCAGCGGTTGGAGTGGTCGCCTCACAGCATGAAGCTTTCCTGTGAGGCGTTTACTAGCTCTCTCTGTGCATGAGTTTTCTCCAGGCGCTCTGGTTTCTTCCTGCAGATCACAAACATGCATGTTGAACTACCTGGTGGCTCAAGCGGTTTTATTTTTCTGTACTGGCACTTTGCCACTGTCTCAACTCTCATCAGTTCTGCACCACACCTCACCAGTTAAAGGCCTGCCCACAGCCAGTACACACCACCACTCAGTCTGGTTTATGGGACCATCTTGTTTGAGGTTCCAAGTAGACTGCTCTGAGGTGACGGTTTTGGTCTTTCCCCTTTTCTACCTAAAGAACAAGGGGCCGTGCTCTTAGGAGCAGCAGCCACGTGCACTCTGTCCATCTTTCGGACGACTGTACGGACATAATCTCTCTGTACTTCGGTGCAATGATAATAAAGATTATTCTGATTCTACTTGTGGTTCCTAGAGTTTTCAAAAGGAGAATGGGAGGAAGCTCTTTCAGTTATCAGGCTCCTCTCTTGTGGATCCAACTTCCAGTTTCTGTCAGTGAGGCTGACACATTGTCCAGTTTGAAGACTGGGATTAAGAGTTTCCTCTTTGATATAGTTAGGATCAGCTTAGTTATACTGCGTCTGTCTTTACTTGATCTATTCTACCTGTTTGTATTTGTAATTATTTATATCCCTAGCATGTGTTTTTCGGTCTTTCTTCCAATAGAAAGTACACCTGGACCTCTTATTCTGTTTGTTTGTTTCTTCTTCCTGTTCTTCTCAAACCCCTGCCGGTCAAAGCAGATGGCCGCTCGTCCCGAGTCTGGTTCTGATGGAGGGTCTGATGACCCTCTTTGTAATGTTGATCCCACCCACAGTGCGGGGAAACGTCATAGTGGAAAATCACCTCCACCTGAGAAGAACTGATAAGGCGAGAGCCGAGTGGAGTCGAACTTATCAATCATAAAGAAGCTAACGTGTCCCTGTGATGGACTGGAGTCTAGTCCAGGGTGTCCTCGTCCTCTCCCAAAGTGACTGATGTAGATAGACACCAGCTCCTTGCCACCCTGCATGGTGAATCTTTACTTCAAGCAGACGACTTCTAGTTTCTGGGAGTTTGGTGCACCAGTGATGGTAGGATGGAGCGATGGACGCACTCATCAGTGACTCGTCTGCAGTCATGAGGACAATACTCAGGTCTGCTGTGGTGAAGAAGGAGCTGAATAAAACAGCAGATCCTCTGTTCACTGGTCCATCTATGTTTCAAGCCTCACCTGTGATCATGAGGTGTACAGTAGATCATGACTGAAAGAACCAGGTCCTACAAACAGCTGAAATGAGCGCAACCTCAGAGACAAGCCCGGTTGTCCATGGGGACTTAACGTAGAGCTGCTTCTTGTCTACATCGACAGCTTCCAGTTGAGGTGGTTAGGATGTCCCCATGACATCTCCCGCACAAGATTTCTTAAGCACATCCCACTGAAAGGAGATCTTGAGGCAGATGGGGAACTCTGAAGAACTTGAGAAATGTCATTTCCAGTGAAAATTATGATTTTGGCTGGAAGCAGCTGAAGAAGCTGAAAACATTTAATCCCCAAACTGTTAATGGGAGTTGAATTTGAACAGCTAGCAGTTATTGAAAACAGCAGAAATGTGCAAAAAAAGTTTTAAAGAGTAGAAATATAACAGAAATTAGCAGAATAAGCTAAAATAAGCAGACAATGGATTACAAAAAAGCTGAAATTAGCTAAATAAGGTAGCTGAAAAAGCTAAAAAAAAAAAGGCTGAAATTATCAGAAAGAAGAACAAAAGTTGGAAATTAGTAAAAACTATAGAAAAAATTTAAAATTAGTAGAAAATACATAGTGTATAGCTGAAAAGTAGAAAAAATGGATTTAACAGAAAAAAGCTGGTACCACTTTACAATAAGGCTCCCCTTATAGATGGCTAATAAACAGTTTATAGATACATTATGAATCTCTCTATAAACACTTTATAAAT